GGCATAAATATGCCACCATAATATGCATAAATGCTATTCTTTCCCCACGATAAATTTAAGTCCAGGCTTTTTGACATCTCCTTTTTCAATAGATATGGAACTCGTAAATTTACTTACCTTGTCATTGGTTATTTGCAAAATTATTTTGTAAATAAACATTCTGATTGTACACACAAGCACTCTGAAGTTGATATTAAAAAGATGCTTGATTTTCTGATTGACAGAATCTATGTCGTTTTCGGAGACCAGGTCTTCCAACAATCTATTGGAATTCCCATGGGTACCTATTGCGTTCCGTTATTAGCAGACCTATTTTTGAATTCATATGAAGCAGATTTTGTTTAAAATCTTCTACGTGAAAAGAAGAAAACACTTGCTGTTGCCTCCAACTTGACAATAACGACGACGTATTGTCAATTAACAATGGTTATATCCATTCTGATGTCGATACGATATATCCCCGTGAGCTTGAAATAAAAAATACCACAGAGTCTGAAACATCTGTTTCATATTTGGATATTATACTAGAAAAAGACGATAATGGTAATCTAACAACCAAGCTTTTTGAAAAACGTGATGACTTTAACTTTTCAATCGTCAACTTCCCTTACTTATGCAGCGACATACCTTCATCACCTGCATACGGGTTTAAATTTCTCAGTTGATTCGATATGCAAGAGCATGCTCTACGTATGAACAATTTCTAAAGCGAGGTAAGTTATTGATAAACAAGTTGAAGAAACAAGAATATTGTAAGGCCATTATTTACACACTGAATTGTCGACGGATTTTTCAATTATTTCCCGATCATGATGAGGAGCACATGGCGGGTGTGATGCTCACACCTCCATGCCACCTGATCCCACTTCTGATGTTATAGAGGTCCGTGTTTGCTCTGCTCCAAAATTTGTATTGTTTAATGGACTTTTGAGCTTGAATACTGTTCGTTATCTCCATACATTACACACTGAACTGTCTTCAGATTTTTCCTTTTTTCACGATCATGAAAGTGAGCACACTACGGGTGTGACCTGTCGCCAGGTGATGCTCACTTCTCCATGGCACTTTATTTCAACTCTGATGTTTTGGGAGGTCCGTATTTGCTCTGCTCCCAATCTGTATTGTTTAAATGGACTTTGAGCTTGAATACTGTTTTGAATACTGAATTATCTCCACATTTCATTAAGAACGGAAGACCTTTTTGTTTCCACGGCAACAAGTTTCTGGTTTTTTCTTATCTACCCCCCCCCACCCCACCCCAGAATTTTGTTCACGTGATTTCTCAGTACTATTCGGTGGTTTTCAACGAAATTTCCAGGGATAATGCGCATATAAAGGAACTTGGTACATCTGGGGAAAAAATTATGGACAATTTTTTGATTTTAAAATGAAATTGTATCCGCGTAATATTTAAAGAACTGCTAAATATATGAACTGGAGACTTGTTAGAGATGATAGAAAATGACTTAGAGGTGAACAGAATCACATTTTCGTGCGTTAAATTGTTAGCACTACAGAAACGAACTAAAAAAATATGTTTTTTTAATTGTTTTTTTTCCCAATATTTTTCTATAATATTCTTTGGATTAATAGAGACTATAAAAGAATGCTTAATATATAATTTAAATAACCCATACTCTGGGAATTCGACATTTTTCACTTTGAATTGATAGTCTTCGCTAGTGTAATGGTTAGTGTTTTGGATTTTCACGCGAGCGACCCGGGTTCAATCGCCTTATAGAATGTTATTTCATTTTTAGGGTTTAAATGTAAGAGCTTATCTTTAAATTGATGTCTCGTTTTTTTTTCCTTTCGAAATTTGGTATATTTTTACAATATTTACGTTTTATGATATTTCATTTATAAAGGATATTCTGGGAATGCACAACGTAATACATGTTATGTTATTATGTGTGAGGACTCAACTCTGAAGAAAGACAAGAGAAGGAAATCCTTCTTGTTGCCAAGGCAACAAGGTTTCTAATCTTCAGTCTTTAAAGTAAACCTTATAGCGATCCAATTGTTCCTTTATATGATTATTATTCCCCCAACCAAATATTCAGACGTTTCCTCGAAATATTTCAGTAATTATATTAATCGAATGAACTTTATTCATCATAAAGAATATTTGGAAAATTCACTTCCAGTTCCAAGTGATTGACAATTTTCTGATTTTATGAATGAAATTTTGCCCCCCCCCTCCCCCTTTTCTCAAGATTGAACATATTATAGAAAATAGAGCAAGACTTCTTCTTGATGTCCGGAATCTACATTTTTGCGTCGTCATTATTTCCGGACGTCAGCGGAAGGAATTTCAAAAATAGATTTTTTTTCAACTTTTTCAATATTTTTTAAAATGATTTTATTGAATTAATAGAAAGTCTTATGCAAACTCTAAGTATATAGTTTCTTTCAATTTTGATTTATTTTAATTCTAGAAACTCGTGACTTTTTTCTTTGAGGCACGTTTCCCGTTAACGTTGTGGTTAACATCGTGGATTCTCACGCGGGCGACTTGGGTTCAATCCCAGGAATGTCCGTTTTTTCTCACTTTTTCTGCTTAAATTTATTTATTTCTGTTCGAATTTTGAATATTTTTACATTTTTAAATGTTATTTTCTTTTGTGTATGAAGACGTTAACAGGAATTGTACAACGATAACACATGTTGTGTTTTGAGTGAGGAGAGAATAGCTGATGATGGAGAGGGGACGAAGACCTTCTTGTTGCCATGGCAACGAGTTTCTAGTTATTTTTCTTCTTTTTCCTGGGTACTTTTTTTGTCCGTGAGTGATCTCGTAATCTACTCAAACGATTGAGGTGAAACCTGTTTACTGTTGATAGACATGTTATGTAGATGTGCGGAATGAAGGTCATTTTGCGGAGACGCAGAGTGAGAATAGCCGCAATTTATATTATTTACTGAAATTTATATTATATTATATTATATTATATTATATTATATTATATTATATTATATTATATTATATTATATTATATTATATTATGCAATATTATATTATATACTGAAAGGAAAAAGAAACGCGAGGTAAACTTTTGAGGTGGAATTATTTTATTTCTCCTCATGTATTTTCTAGTATTCCTGTCTAAATTTTAATATAATCTTTAATGAATATGTAACCAAAATCCCATTTTATTTTGCCACATAATTCATGAGTTATTGAAACTCACATGACAATACCCCCAAAAGTGAAAATTGAAAATTTTCATTATCTTCAATGTCTCCTTCGTGCATCTGTCACAGGGTTGATTCTCCTATGCATGGAGTTTATAAGTGTGTTTATCCTTCAAAAAGGGACATTATTCAACCCTTTCAACAGGGCAGCCCTTAGTTGAAAAAGGCCAGTTTGGGCATTTCGAACCCTATCATCCACTCAGTCCCAGAGACGTTCAATGAGAAAAAGATGGACTTAACGGAGACCAGTCGAGTGGGTATATGTGATTGTTTGCGAGAAAGTCTTGACAAACCCTGGCTACACTGGGCCAGGGGAAACACGCCAAAAAAAATAGGCAAACGACGTGCGCATGCACCAGTAAGAGGAACACCAACGTAAAGCTGACCAGCTCAAAAACTCAAATTGCGCAATCGGTTTCTTTCAGTTTTAGGGGGAATGTAATTATTATGATAGCCTACTGTATCAATAATAGTTTTTGTGGTAGTAAGGTGGCGATTAAACTGGTGGCAGTAGGAATAACCCGATCTTGACGTGGCTTTGTTACGCGTCAACGTCATCGTCAAGGTTGGTTGGAAACCATTCAAAGCCCTCTCTGACGACGGGTAAGACGTTCTATGGTAGAAAAATTTACAACTGCACAGCAACCCGTTGTTGCCTTAGTACTCACTTAGGCATTGTAAAAGCCATACCCCATGGAACTTCCATCAACTGTAACATGATTGCAAGAAATTCATATCGTCTGTAAATATTGAAAAACAATGTATATACCTCAAGTGCATCAAATAATACAAGAAGATCGTTGACAAACTTGTCGTTATCAAGTTGCACGTGTTTTTGGCTTTTTATTACTTTTTCTACGTGACGTCATACATTTCACGGTTGAGTAATTCTGAACTCTGATTTAAGTGCATAGTAACCAAGATTTTCATCTGACCAGTTTTCGCAACTTTTGGTCATGCGATCATAAAATTTTCGCATATTACATTATCTTGCGTTTCTTTTTCCTTTCAGTATATTATTTTTAATGAAATGCTTTGATACTCAGAATATAAAGATATATTATTAGTGTAGACAAGATAACGTGGTCAGGGTGCACATGCATGCACGTGCGCGCGTGCGCAGTGAGTAAAAGGGGCATAATACTTGATTTAGGCGTTTACAATTTTTTTTCATAAAATGCCTTTAAGCTCAGAATATAAAAATAAAACTATATTACCTGTAGAAAAGATTACATAGCGCACACATGGATGCACGTGCGTGCACGTATGTGCAATTTTATTTTTTATGAAATGCTTTAAAACTAATCATATAAAGATAATTATATGATCAGCATTCACATGCATGCACGTGCGTGCTTGTGCAATGAGTAAAATGACCAACATACTTGATACAGGATAACTTTTCTAACTTATATATATATATATATATATATATATATATATATATATATATATATATATATATATATATATATATATATATATATATATATATATATATATATATATATATATATATATATATGTATATATATATATATATATATATATATATATATATATATATATATATATATATATATATATATATATATATATATATATAGATAAATTGCTTAAATATAAACTCTTTTCCGCAAAGCGTTATAGTTTCTGACCCGTTTTAAAGTATCTGATATCATTATTTACTTTACAATGCGACAACATAGCAACTTTAGAAGACGATACCACCCAAATGTCACAATGCCTCTGGTAAATATATTAATTCTTTAGTACTTTAAGGATAATACATATATAGCATATTGGTGGAGAAAATGTTTTATTTTCGGAAAAGTACATCTTCGTCTATTGACAAAGGCTGGGCATGGATCGTCCTCTTTGGTAAGTCCTTAAACAATAATCAACTTTAATACAAACATCTGAGGAATTTATTTTCATGGCATTACTTGGTCTTGGTGTATGGTGTAGAATTATCGGTACACGAAAGTCAAACGAATACGTGAAAGATGCTGATGGTCAAAGTACATATTTAAACTGATAATGTATTCCAGTAAACCGAGTACGAATTAAAGTAGGCATGGATCGACTGTGAAATTGTAAGACTGTATGTAAGAATATTTATCAAAATTAAAAAGAAATGATTTTAACATGTTACATTATACAATTGGAATTCGACACAAGGTTATTTAAAATTGCATAAGACACTCTATAGAGCTATTATAAATAACTATGCTTTTAAGGGAAAGATAACCTTATTTAATTGATCATGTTCTAAGTTAGAGGGCCTTTGACGAGTAGTATGTATATATGCCGGTAAATTATATAGTATATCAAATTCATACTTATTATATTTTTTGTTGGGAAGTCTTCACAATATTGTGTTACCTGCATTTCAGTCATCCGTAGGAAACTTATGAAGTCAACCTTATACACATATAGAAATGGGATCCTGAAAATAATTTTCAAGGAGGGCATCTTGCTATTGTATAATAGGTCATCATTGAAAATGTGGTATACTTTTTAAAAATATCCTCATGGATATTTATGCTCTAGGCGACAATGCACCGAATTTTTTTGTACTAGTTAACTTCTAAAATGTTTAGATCTTAAAATGTAAATGATTATGCTTTGAAAACTACCCTTCAGTCTTATAGATCCAAGTAAAATTTTTATATCATTTATGTGGACAACCTAGTCTTGGCCCCGACTTGGCTGAATCTTTAGATGGGTGATCGTAACATTGTACGAGGATTGTCCTTAAATTTCGTGGACAATGACGTTTTTGTCAAACTGAATGGTCCAAGATATACCTATTGTGCATTAAAATATTTGTTACGAAAATCCAAGTCCGAATAGTTTAGGTTTGCTTGTTTGAACTAAATATTATTGTAAAAATCGCGGTCTTTAAAGGTCGTTGATAGTGCGCACGGCTCAGAGTTAAACTTTCATTAACTTTGAGATAAAGTTTTAGGATTAAAATTATTATTTTCTTCATAACACATACCAAAACTTGAATTAAATTAAACACAGTATGTCTTAATTAAAGCGGTTGTCGTCATTTTCTTATCTTCAGTATCACTTATCGGACAGATAGTGAGAAAAGTTAAGAACCCCCGCTTAAGTAAAAAGAAGAGCATGCCCAGATCTAGATGGAGGGGGTCGGGTCTCCACATGCTCCTGTGCTGAAAATAGTGTTAAATACAAACGGTGTGTAACTTTAAAACTTTGAGCGTGATCGATGCCAGCACATTTCCAGTTGACTTTTGAAAAAATAATTGATCAAAATAAAAATAGGGGGCGGGACACTTTGAGAGAGGCGGGCGGGGCCATAGGGACATTATAGTATAAAATTTCATTGCAAAAGCTCAAAAGCTTATTCAGATATCACCCGGAAACAAAAGTTTTAAAAACAGACATAATTATAAATTCATGACCTTGACCTTTGACCTTTTGACCTCAAAATCAATAGGGGTCTTCCGTAGACCAAAGGGAGATTTTGTGTAAAATTTCATTGCAAAAGCCAAAAGTCTTCTCGAGATATCCGAGGGAAACGAAAGCGTTACAGAAAGACAGACGGACGGACTGACCGACCTGAATTAATAACTCACAAGTGGGAAACAAAAAAAAAGTAAGAAATATGTGCCAAAAACTGACAGAAAAAGCGATGTCCAAATGAAACAGCCTCCGATTTTAAGATAATGTTTCTATATGATTGAAGCGACGTCAGAGGCAAACTAAGTGGAATTTCAACCGAGATTACTGGACTAAGATATTGAAGCATGGAGTATTGAAATTAATACAATTTGAAGGAATTTCGGGGAATGCAAAATCGAAATTTGAAATATTCCGGAGTGTATGAATATTAACTGAACAGTTTTGAATGCATGTACGTGTATTACAGAAGTCATTATTATTATCATACAAGTTGTATAAAAGTACATGTGTATTCTGTTTTACCAATAACCTAGCCAAGCAGGAAATAAATTTTTTTAAAAATCAGAAGCATAAATCTGTCCTTTCTGATTTAGAATTTTTCGCATTTACTTAAAATGCAATGATTCTCAATCTTTTACAGGGTGTTTTATGGAATATTTAATAATAGTTGGTATGTTCAAGTCCTTTGGATTATTTTTCGTGGAATATCAGAAGAAATTCTCAGCAACATCGTCTGTAATTTCTACGGTTCTCTCTGTTCAAACAATTATAGCAAGCGTTCTATGTAAGTATCTTCATTTACATGTTCTTATACTATTTATAAATATATTCAGGCTTGTTTCACAGTACTTCCGACAAGGATTGTTTTTTAACATACCTTTCTTTAAAGTTTTTCTTAAGTTATGGAGGTCATTCACAATTAATCAGTAATTTTATAGGTGTCTCTTTTAAAATCTTATCAGTCATGGCAAAATATATAGATTTTTAAAAAAAAATTATTTGAATTTTTTTATGTATGTATGCTTTTTAGGGATGGCAACGAATATTCGAATATTCATTCGATGAGTTGATATTCGAATATGAATTTAGGATTCGAATATTCGGTGTTTTTCAGATTTCATAAAAAGAAGTACTGTGATTAATAAATTTTGATTAGAACAGTGCTGGGATTATCCCTGTTTAATTTACTAGCGATCAATTTTGATCGCCTGATTTCTTTCACTACTTTCTTATCTTATAGATCTCCTAAATTACATGTATTTTGTTTTGAGTAAGGTGTTAAAGAATTGTACGATAATGCTTTATGTAAAATACAAAACGTATTTTCATAGTTTTTTAGTTAGATATGATCGGATCTAGAATCGAGGACAACAAAATGAAATCTTAGAATGTCTAAAAGGCGTGAAGAGTGATTATCTCTGGTTGAACATAATCCTGAATTTTATATTCATTATCGGGAAATTAGATAATTACCAAAGAAAATTGTCTATGGAAATATTTGTTTACATTGTATCAAAGACTATTATCATATCTCTTATTAGGTAGATAATTGTAATTAATTACACGTATTTAAATCTGAAGAGTATACCGTTACGACTATCTTGCTTTTGGTAAGATGACTGGTTCCTCAGTTGGAGCTAATATAAATACACATGTTTCATTTGTTAAAATTATACTTTTCTACATTTAAATCAATTATTTATTTCAAACATTGATAAATATCAAACGAAATTTCTTATTGTACACCTACAAAAGTCTTCATACAATTTTACTTCCAATATAAGTATACCTACGCTTAACCTTTCATGATGCATATTTAAAATAAAACAGATTTTTTTCATTTTATCGAATATTCGAATATATTCGAATACTTTCATTGAATATTCGAATATGAATTACTGACAAAATTGACATCCTTAATGCTTTTAGCTATTATTGTCATGGGAATCGGAACAAAATACTTTGGTGAGCGGTCCTTGATAATTGGTGCTGCACTGTTTGGGCTCGGCTCCAGTGTAGGCAATGCATTTGCCCCTCGGCCTTCGGTATTGTTCTTCACCCAAAGTACTTTATTTGGTATGTCTGTCAATAACATCTCGTATTTCAAATTTCATTTTTTATCATCATTCATGCAGCAATAGTTACATGTATAAAAAAAAAATACATTATTTTTCTGCTAGCTTTAACAGCAGTGACGGCGCATACTCCATCCACTTTGATACTTGGTAAATACTTCGAGAAACGTAGAGGGATGGCTAATGCGATTGCAAATGTCGGTGGAAGCATAGGAGGACTGGCTTTACCACCTTTATTTGCTTATTTATTTGAAATTTATGGCCTGCAAGGTGCGCTCATTACAGCAGGAGGAATTTTTCTTCATTTCATTCCCATTGGGATGTTGATGAGACCAATTGAAAGAAAGACAAACGTATTACCAGACAAGGATGAAGAAGGCAATAACAATGATTTAATAGGTAATCGACTTTCTGATAAAAAACTTTCTTCAAATGAAAGAATTAAAGATGAGAGTGAACTTGAAGTGAAGGAGAATCTAATACCAAAAGGTGTTGATGAGAACTTAGGACAAAAAACTAGTAGGTCTGAAGATGACAGAAATATACAAGTGAAGCCTTCTGAATTGTTTGGAAGTTCAGCCGATATTTCAGTGACAATATCCATGGAAGGAATTAATTTAGCTGATTCCAAATTGGAATCTGATTCGAAAATAAAAATTAACACGGACCTTTATCAGGATGAAAAAGGCAGAAATTGTTGTATGCAGATTTTATTTACTTTATTTGACTTTTCATTGTTTAAGAATGTTCAGTTTATCCTATTAATGACATCATCAGTTCTCGTCTGTGCTGCCTGCAGTATTCCTATTACTTACATTCCACCTTTTGCTAAAGACAAAGGATTACAGACAGAATTAATTGGATACCTCGTAACAATTTCGGCTGCAAGTGACTTAGTAGGCCGATTTCTATTTGTATTTATTGCCGATACCAAGAAAATTGAAAGGCATCATATGATGACAATTGCAATGATCGCCAATGGAGCTACATGTTTCATGGCATTTTTTTCTACAAACTTTACATACCTTGCGATATTTGGCATCCTTCAGGCTATGTTTGGCGGAGTTTACTATTCCATGATTAATGTTCTGGTAGTTGATTTCATTGGATTGGAAAAACTAAAGTACGGAATAGCATTTGGAGCGGTAACGAGGGGAATATCAATAGCTGTGACTTCGTTGGCTGTTGGTAAGTTACTACATAGGAAAAATGATTTTGGTATCATGCACTATTTTATACAAAAAGATTATCATGCACAAAACCTTTCTTGGTAATTTTTATTGTCTATCAGATTTTGTTTTTATCTTAATACCATTTGTCTTCCTGATGAAGATATAACTATTAATTAAAATATGTATCTTAAAGTAAAAAAAGATTGCATTACTGTAGATTCCTTATTTTACGCGGGTACATATAATCGCGAAATGGCTCTTAGACGTCTAATCGCAAGAATAATAATTCACAAGTGGACGGTTATCATGAAATTTTACATGGATTTCAGCACCATAAAATTAAAAGCGAATAATTTTATTTCGCGAGTGGTGCTTCTCGCGAAATAACGCGATAATTAATTCCTCGCGTATTTTCAGGAATCTACAGTTTCCGAAATATTTTAAATATATATCATTTGAATACCCCAAAAATGAACGTGATAAAATACAAACTTGATTTTAGTTAAAAATTTAGCGATAAAATGATCGGCATACAGTTATATATTCGTGTAGTGAGATTTTAAATAAACAAAGTAGATTAATGTAAAAATTCTATCTTTTAAAAAAAAAAATATTAATGTAAAAATTCTATCTTTTAGGTATTTTACGAGATTCCACTGGTAGTTATGTTGCGGGATTTTCTTTGATGGGAGTGTGCTCAATTGTTGGGGGAGTAATTTTACTTTTCAAGCCTTTTGTGTCAAGATGACAAACCGAATGTGTAATATTAAAACACACTGAGAAAAAATGGATACCAAAATTTATGCCGTATGCTTTTTTCAGTAGATGAAAATATATTTATCTTTGCTCTGCTTTTTTTCTGATGCTTGATGCAACACTCAAGTTTCTATTTTCAGTAATATTCCAAATAGAACCATCCATATACATGTCCAACTTTCTGTTTTTTTCTCTTTCCTTCAGTCAACACTTCAACCCAATCTATTAATCAATGAGCAAGTTTTACTGAGGGAAGAAAATTAACGTCCAGTCTTACAAAAGTTCTTAGAATAACAGGCAAGCAGAAAGAGGCAGTCAACTTCTTCCATGAGAAATATTTTTGCCGTAAATGCAAAAACATGTATGTGTAAACGGGCTTTCTCGTAACGAAGAAAAATTCCGGTCGTTCTTTGTATGGTTCTTTTTAATTGTGACAATTTAGATACATAAATAAATCAACCCTACAAAACATGTTAACATAATAATTATTTATAACATAATATTAATATAGGTATAATATATTGTCACAGACTATTCAGTTTTCATAAAATCTATATTACACTGTCTGATATTCTTATAAATTTTAACATTAGCACTTCCTCATTTTACAATTTATTGGAAATAACTTATTTTTCCATATGCATAAAACTCTCTAGTTAATTTATATAATATAAATTATTTACAAATTTCAGAATAAGAAAATAATTACTGCATTATAATATATACCAAGTTGTGAACAAAGACTCTCTCTCGCTCTCTCTCTCTCTCTCTCTCTCTCTCTCTCTATATATATATATATATACAGCTCCGTGCACTGTTAAAGCCTACCTGGTTTTACGCACAAATTAAGGTAACATTTTTCTCGGAATGAAAATTAACATTATCGAACTTCAGTGCGACTACATAACCATAGTTGTATTACATATGTCATGTCAAGGGTACATGTCCTTTAGAATTATTATCTTAAGTTTCTTAAAGTCGATGTTTTAAAGTGGTTTTAAAGGGGATTTTAACAATAATTGGTACGATGTAACTACTATATGATTCAACCATAAGTATTTACAAATTAAATTAATTGAGCTTTCTTTGATATTATTTAATTGAAGTTTTTAAGTTGACTTCGTAAAGAAGAGTATTTTTCTAAGTACTTTGCTCATTTATCATACTCTTGGTTTTGTCGAAATGTAGCGCCGAAAACAGACAATGCTGCAGAATGAAATCATGCTAAAAGGTAGGATAATGAAGTGTTTTTTCTCTTTTAGAAAAATAAATTGTAACTTCTGAAAGGAAAATTCTTATACATTTACGGTTTGAAACTTTTAAATTTTGCAGTTGGACGGATCATTCATGATGCTAGATTTCAGAAAGTAACTGAAAATTGCCAGGTTTTTAAACAGAAAGCAGTCGAACAAATGAGTAGCACTGTTATCATCTTAAACTTTAGAGTCATGTTAATGTACAAAAAAAAAAAAAAAAAAACAAGTTACAGGAGCTGTAATGTGTCTGTGTTTAGGCAAGGCAAAAAAAGTCATCCATAGGCAAGAGAGAATCTTCAAGAATTAAGCATTGCAGGAAAGGCAAAAAACCGCAAAAACCATTTTCGAATTGTTATAATTTAACAGCCAAGAGTATATAAAAATCCTACCAATTATTATGTGTGAAATATGTTTTTAGTTAGTGAAATAAAATTAAAATAAGTCAAACAATCGCTTTTAAAATATATTTAGTTCCCTCGCTACACAATATCACATTGTAACAATGCGACGTTAATATGTGCGAAAACCCATGTGAGTTTAAAAAGTGTGCAAAGCTGTGTTACGACTACCTCATCAACTCTGTTCAAAACATTTAAGAGTTTGGAATATGTTCCATACAATATATAGTTTTATTTACTAATTTTACAATATACAATATACATGTATTTACATAATCTTTCAGATCTGATCTTGTCATTAAAAAATATCATTTATCAGTGTAACTTTTAAATTGGATCACTGCATTTATATTCATTCAAATCATTTGCTAATATATTTTATACATTTTCCATTTACCCATCAAAACTATTTCATTCGCACCCATTAATTCAACTAAACAAGTCATATATATATATATATATATATATATATATATATATATATATATATATATATATATATATATATATATATATATATATATATATATATATATATATATATATAAAGAAATGTTCAAAAAAGAACTCATTTTGTGGTCATGTCTTAGCCTAGTCAGAATATAAATATTTATCAAACAAGAAAACTCCACGAACTCTTAATTATTGCTGGATTCAAAGTGAATTAAAAAAACAAAAGCTTTATTCAGTAAGGATTTTGACCTTATTGACCTGACAATAAAATCCTTATATACCAAAAATAGCCAGTCGACTAAATCTGACCCATAAACTGGTTCACAAAGAAATGAATACACTAAAGATTTCTAATTATAGAATGATAACTCTTAATCTAAAATAAGTAGTTCCATGCAGTGAGGTTAGCAGATTTAATTGCCAAACTGACTGTAACATTTTTCAGTTAAAATTCGTATTTATTTATTTATGGCAATATGTTTATTTATTTACAGCTTAAAAATAACAAATAACCCATTATTACATATACATCTCATTTTCTATCACAAAACTATCTTTAAATCTAATATCTAAGTATTATGATGTTTTGATAATTTAAATATGTATCTTTATTATACCAGTAAATAAGAAGAAGTATTTACTTTCAAATTCAAACTTTAAGAATATTTTTTTGTTAATACACATGGAAAAATTGACTGGTTGTTCGTTAGGGAAATTTCTCTGAACAGGATTTAACCATGACCCAAAACATTTTTCGTTTTACATACATGGATCATCGTGCGAGAGAAATGTATGGAATTTTGAGAACCCTCATTAATCACTTACGTATGAATTTTGTGTTATCGTGACATAGACTGTAACTTGAAAAATATTTTTTAAAAAAAATCATTTGTAATGTCTTTAAATATTCCAATTTATCAAAAGGGGATTTAAAATATAAAGCTAAAGTAAAATTTTAAAGCAGACCAGCATATCAATCACACGATAGTATTATGTTATTCACATTCTAGTTAAGAATTTGGTATAAAAACTGGATCATTTTATAAGGTACAGAATGATTTCATTTTATTTATAAACATTCATTTTATAAAATCTAACTTCATAGAGAATATCATAAACGATCAAGAAGTTTTATTCGAAAAATTATGATAAAAGTTAAAGCAAGAAAACAAGATACTGTCACAAGTCAGTACTATCGCAATGTAAGTATTTTCTTCTGAATGAACGCTATTTCCCCATATACCTTCGAAAGAGCCATCCAAATTAATATACAATGTACAAAAATATGTTTACATGTACCAGATTGAGCATATATTGCACATCTACAGAGCAACACAATCATCTTGCAAAATATGAGATAAATGTTGTGTAAAACTTATGAGGTGTTATGGGAACCAGGTTTTTTGTACAATAAAAATGCTGTTTTTCAACTCCCATTAAAGCCCGTGGGTGAAATGAAAATTCGAAGCTTTTTGCACATCTGCAGAACACCCCAATTACCTTGCAAGAGATAAAATGGATACCTGCCTAAACGTAACAGGAGTTTTGGAAACCAGGTTTCTGTGAAAATTTAAAAATGTTTTTCGACCTCCATTTGATCCCCAAAGATGAAAATGGAAACATTGCACATCTACAGGACACCACCGATTACCTACCAAGAGATTATTTGGCTTCTGAGTGAAATGTATGAGAAGTTTTTGGAGCCATGCAGCTTTCTACTTTTAAAAACACGTCATTTTCTGACCCTCAATTGATCCCCAAAATAAAAAGGAAAATTCCGAGACCTCATTGAACATCAATCACTCTTGCAAAAGATGATTTGGCTAGGTAAAACGTAACAAAATTTTTGAAACCATTTAATTTTTTTTTAGAAAAACGTTTTTCAACTACAATTTGGCCCAAAGTTGAGAATGAAAACTCTGAAACCTTATTGCACATTTATAGCACACTATCTATCATATATTGCAAGAGATGAATCGGTTACTGCTTAAAGTAATTGCAATTACAGGAAGAAAAAAGTGTAATAGATGGACGTACGGACCAGGATAGAAAATATTTTGACAACAAGAATATGCACCAAAATCAGAAAGATGTGAATGAAGTAAGGTATCACTGACTATGTTTTTCTACGTTCTGTACGTCTGAAATACCAGTAACCACTGATTTTTATACGATACAGCATTAAGTTTAAACGTTCATAATTAGTGTGATATTTACACTTACCCATGAATAATACAGCAGTTCATCAATGTCTAAACCAAGGCATGCAAATAACAAATAACTTGATGTTACAGGGACATAAGCAACTCCCTTTAGAGTCAAAATTTCACAAATTTTATGGTAGTTGCAATATGTTTCTATCAATGGGTCAAAAATAGAAATGAGGTTTTTCTGAAGATAAGAAAATCAGTCTCTTAGGGAAAAAAACTGACATTTTACTCAGCATACAGACGATTTTTCCTCCAGAAATAAAGCAAATACAAATTTACAATAAATAAGGTTATGACAATTTTGTAAATTGTCTGGATTCTATTTTTTCAACTTTCCTTAAAGTATGTTTTCTGTCACATGAATAATATTATTTTTATGTCCCCGTATCCAAGATTCGGGGATATATAGTTTTTGCCCTGTCCGTCCGTCTGTCTGTCTGTTTGTCCGCAAAAACTCTAACCTCGCACATAACTTTTGATTTATGTTGGAGCTATGGCTTTCATATTTCACATGTGTATTCCTTGTGACAAGGCCTTTCTTTGGGTACCACCATATTTGACCTTTTGACCTTGACCTTGGAGTTTGACCCAGTTTTGCAAAATTTTACAAAACTTTTACCTTGGTCATAACTTTTAAACAATTGGTGCTATGGCTTTCATACTTCACATGTGTAATTCTTGTGAAAAGACCTTTATTTGAATACCAACAACTTTGACCTTTTGACTTTGATCTT